TAAGTCAAGTCAATTTGGATGACCATAAGGGAAACAATCCATTTGCCTGTGCTTTACAATTAGCATTTACTTTGGAACTAAAGAGAATGTAATTATATCGACTGGAATTATTATCAAGTGATATTTGTCTTTTTCAAATCTTATTAAAGCAGCATTTTATTTTGAATATCAAATACAAAGTTTGCATTGATTTTTAAAGAGCCTGTTGAAAGCATTTTTCACTTCTCTGTTTCTTAAACTGTAAATGAAGGGATTGAACATGGGGATGATTAATGTGTAGAACACTGAGACCATTGTGTCCGTTTCAAATGAATGTGCGGATTTAGGCTGCAGATACATAAAGAGTAGAGTCCCATAGAACACAGTCACCACTGTCAGATGAGAGCCACATGTGGAGAAAGCTTTTCTCCTGCCCTCAGCAGAATTCATTCGAAATAGGGACATCAGAATAAATATATAGGATCCAAGCAGGCCCAGGAGCGAGGACATTAAATTAATTGCTGAAGTTGCTATCATCAACAATTCTACTTCTCGTTTATTTGAACAGAGCAAAGGTAGGATTGGAGCATTGTCACAATAGAAATGACTAATGACATTAGAGTCACAGAAAGTCGAGGTAAAAATCTTACTGGTGATCATCAGAGACTGAAAGGTACTGTAGAGATAGGGAATTCCCACAAGTGTATGGCAAAGTCTTGGGGACATGATGACATTGTAGAGTAGAGGGTTGCAGATGGCCACATAGCGGTCATAGGCCATGGCTGACAGAATGAAGAGTTCACTGATAATAAATAGAATATAAAAAGCCATTTGTATGACACATTCATAATAGGATATGGAATTTTTATGATCAACAAGATTTACTAGCATCTTGGGATAAATGACAGTACAATTACCAAGATCAATGAAGGCCAGGTGTCTGATGAAAAAATACATGGGTGTGTTTAGGCGGGAGTCTGCCTTGGTCAAGAAGATCAGACCCATGTTTGCAAACACTGTGATCAAGTAGATAATAAGGAAGATTCCAAAAAGGACAAAATGCAGCTCAGAGTTCCGTGTGACTCCAATGAGAATGAATTCAGTCAATACTGTTAGGTTCCTTTGGCCCATTTAGTCCAGCGACCATTTCTGGGAAGAACAGAGGAATTGGTATTAGTGTTCAGGTGTATTAGCTAAACAAATTAAACTAATTGTAGACAGAATGGGGACTTTTTCTTCATACTTCAGGATGGAAAAGCAATCCCTGAATCTGATTTTATTTAGCACAAGCTGTAGAAGAACCTCCTTCCCAAAAGTGTCAGATCCTCCCTGGTGCATAGTGGATGGTGAGTAGGGTCTCTAACCCCACGGCCAGCAGTCTGAAACCACGTGTCACACTGCAGGTGAAAGACCACACTTTCATATCCCATTAACAGTTACAGTCTTGCAAACCCACAGGGACATTCTGCTGTGCCCCTTGGGTTACTATGGATTGGAACTGACTTGATGGCAATGAGTTTGTTTGTTTATTTGTGTTTAATGAAATATACTATTCATTATATTGGCATAGATTATACTTTCAAGGTGAGCAATTTGAAAAAAATGCCATATTGCTAATTTAGAGGTAATAACTCATACACGTAATATTTTCTCCACACAGAATACTTACTTCCTCTGGCTTTTTTCTGTTTCTGAGAAATTTTGTGGGATTTTCATATTCTTGAAATGGTAGACAGGCATAATGTGAAGATAATGAAGCTTAGATTTTGGCTTTCTCATCAGCACGAGCCTTTACTGCAGCCACATAATGATAAACCCATTTCCATGGAGTCCATGCCAACCCATAATAACCATGTAATATGGAGCAGAATTTTCCTTTATAGTTTCCAGGATTCCCAATCTTTATGGAAACAGACTACTACATCTTTCTCTCATGGAGGAAGAAATCACTAACCATTTGGGTAACAGTCCGTGCTGGACCACAGCGTCACTAAGACTCCTCACACAGTTGTTTATCTGATAAACAACTTAACTCCCTGCCATCATGTCACTTCTGATTCACAGTGAGCCTATAGAGCAGGGTAGAACTGCTCTTGTGGGTGTCTGAGACAGCAACCCTTTACAGGAGCAGAAAGCCCACTCTTCCTCCCTTATGGATCACAGCCCAGCAGATAACCACTATGCAACCAGGACTCCTATTTTATCTGAGAAAATCAGATAGTGAATCTTTTTTTGTGGAGAAGAATATCAATGACTTGTTCTGAACATCTTAATATATAAATTTGAAACAGCTCTATTCGAAATAGACAGGAAACAGAAATAGATATGGTGATAATAGCTATGATTCATTCTGCTTCAGCATATACTCCATGGTTCTGTAACTTCCAGAAACCAAACAAAATGTTTGTCAGTCTACACAGTTTGTAGTGCCTATTTTGAAAAATAAGACTTATTCATAAGCAATCTAGTAATGGAAGGACACAACACGAATCATAAAACCAATAGCAATGAAAACTAAAACATGACTTTTCTAGCCAATGATTTTCCTAAAATTATTTCTAGTTTATCAAGCATCTCATAGTTCATGTGTAAGCTAAATATATTTCTAAGTCAATATTTGTATAGAAAGATCATTTATTATTAACCAAAAATTTCATATGACTTGGAAATAGATAAAATTCAAATGTGCCATGATGGCCTGGCAGTCCTGTCTTTAATAAATTTAGTTGAGTGAGATTAGTGATGAGGTTATCCTACATTACCTACTCTCTCTTTACTTATAGTATCTACATGCCACACACAACTTACACAAATCAAACAAATTTGGTGACAAGTTCAAATGCTCAAATAATGAAAACAATGTCCTGAAAATACCCTAAGAACACAGGGAACCCCATTCAATGAAATAGATACTTGAGGGTATTAGTTATGAATGGTATATGAATGTCTACACACAAACGTCATAAATTAAGGGAAATTACCAGGATCCCGTTGACCATCAGAATGAAAGACAGTTTGTTTCTTTTTCTTTGGTAGGAAGAATTTATGGTAGTTCTCCTCCTCAGTGATGTTCCCTGAGGAAGGATGTTCTGATTTACTGATTACATAATATTATCTGAGACACTTTTTAAATGTGCCAGCTGTGTCTACTAATTATCTAGAACACCCATCGTATTTCCCATTGAAACAAAACTTGAAGGGAAGGAAGAAAACAGCATAAATTATATTTATGCAAGATGTAAAGGAGCTCACTTACAGTCACGGATGAATGTTACGTCAGAAAAGAAAATTCTCAGGGCAATACCAGTAACATGAAAAGATTTGCAAAGTCATAGTGAAATAATATTGCTATGTACAAGTTTTAGTCATTATTTGAATGGTACATTTTTAAGAAATATCTAGCAAACAAGGTTTCATATGTGTCATGTAACCCATGCATGTATATTCAGAGCTCAGGAAAACTGTAATTTATCTTTAGTCACATTATTAATGATTATAGAAATTAATAATGGATCTAATAGTTTTAAATTTTATTTATATTATAGATACACATGGGGAAAATCCATCATGAATTTATTTGTTTAATATTTTGTGAGTTAGGTGAGGGTTTCCACAGTAGGTAAAGAGACGTTTGGTTTCATCCATGGAGTGTAATCCCCATAAAGTAGCTTCACTTATCCCCCTTCCTCCCTGTGTCTCTCACTTTCATTCCTACTTTCCTAATCCCATCTTCTGAACATTACCTTTGAGAAAATGTTGAAGAAATTCAAGCTACTCTGAAAGCATTAGCCAAGACCAAAATTCCAAGAATTGATGAAATACCAATTGAAATGTTTCAACAATGATGTTTGTTGAACATCACTTTTGTTTGTTGAACTCCCATGGCTCAATTTTCAACCTGACAATTATTGGGTATCAAGTCAGTTCCAAATCATAGCGACCCTATGCACAATAGAAGGAAACATTGCCCGTCCTCCGTCAATGTCACAAAAGTTAAGTTGAGCCCATTGTTGTAGCCACTGTGTCAATCCATCACATAGTCATCCCCTTTTTTGCCATCCTCTACTTTACCAAGCATGAGGTCCTTTGACAGGGACTGGTCTCTCCTGATATTATGTCCAAAGCACTTGAGACCAAGTCTCACCATCTAAGGGGAATTCTTGTACTTCTTCCAAGATAGATTTGTTCTTTTTGGAGGCAGTCTATAGCACTTTCAACAGTCTTTGCCACCACCATAATTCAAATGTATGAATGCTTTTCAGTCTCCCTTATTCAATGTCCAACATTCACATGCATATGAAGCCAGTGAAAGTACGCTGGTTTGGGTCAGGTGCAAGGAAAGACTGCATAACTTGTTAGGTGCCATTGAGTCTGTTCTGATGCATTGCTACCCTGTGCACAACAGAATGAACCAGGATAAGCTAAAGAATGCATACCTTATTCTTGTCTTCCTTATTCAAAATAATTTTCAAATGCATAGGAAGCAATGTAAACACTTTAAAGCAATGATATTAGCTCCCACATATTATTACCCTACTATACTAGGCAAGTAAGGTTCTGAACTATATTACCAGACTTCTCTAACCTATTCTGCGATTCCGTCGTGTAATTATAAAATATATTTTGTGGGTTTGGCTTTTTTGACTCAGCCTATAATTTTCCAGATACATTATTTATGAAGGTATTATATTTTCCTCAGAGTTATAAGATTTTCATTTATGATTCTCCTAAGGAGATACACAATTCATGAGTAATTCAAAGTACCTATAGAAAAGAGAACTTCCTATTGTTTCATTTCTTCT